TAGCTGCATTAGAGGTCCAAGTTCATTGCTCCATTTTGGTGGAGTCCTCAATATACCTGATGTTAGAGAACATTATGTTTGGAACAAAGATGGACTTTGATTACTTACAGAAACAAAGAACTTTCAATGGATAGTTTAAATCCAATTTGGCCCCATCTTTGCTATATCTGTGAATATATTTCATCTGCAGGAAATGTTAGCTTAATGATCTGCACATAGTGACTGGCATTTTAAACTCCTGTCTCATATGTCATGCCAATGAAAGGTAGTGTTGTATACCTGATGTGCAATTCTGCTGACTAATTTTAGCAATTGATTAAAAAAAAAAGCAGAAAGGAAAGGATAAAGGAGATGAAATAAAGAATTCAATAAAGAAGTAAAAGCATGTCATTTAAGAAAGAGATTGAAACCTTTTTTTGGATATGATACAAGAAAAAAAGGGCATGACTAAACCTGATTTTTGCTCTTCTTGAAGTGTTGTTCCAGATTATTGTAGTAAAGGTGTCAATTAGAGTCAGCTCCTTTATACCTTCTTATCTTTTTCTTTTCACAAGAAGATGTAGTTAGTTTCATAATGAAGTTAATGGTTTTTTTTTCCTCAGGAAGCTATTTATGTAGCAGGTACTCCTAAAAGGATTACAGGCTTAGACCAAATAATCAGTGTTTATAAATTATTTTTAGGATATTATGAGCAATATACTAGATACTGAAAATTATGCTTATCTTCTGCTTCATTTTGGCTCACCAGGGAAAGATATATTTGCATACCAACTTGGATCCCAACCTTGAGATGTGTTGGCATCCTCAGCCAAGGGCCTCAGATTTCTATTGGCACTCCAGCTCAACAGCACAGAAAGAACTTTTGCAAGGGAGATGGCTTCTGTCGGTACTAACCTTCTCATCATACCAACCAAAGGGCTTCTCCATAGCTACCATTGTTACTGTAGCCTGAATAAAATGCACAGAAAAGTTGTGTTCAGGAAGCAGGACTTACTCAAGAAGCCTTCTTCAGATGTATACATCTTGGTTTTGGATGCTGGATACCGTCAGCCTTGTTGCATCTGTAATAGCTGTAACAGTAGAGCTGAAATCATCTTTACAGATTTAGGAAACTGTTCCTCCATCCAATTGCTTGCCTCTGTCATTTGTATGATAAGGAGGTTTCTTCTTGCTATGAGGACTAAATGAATTCTGCATTTCAAGTCTTTGCATAAATTGAGGGAAAGAGCCCTACTAACCAGACAAATTTTTCAACACTTGAAAGATGCTAAGTAGAAAACATGACTCTTTTTTTATAGTATGGTCCAGTTGAAACTTATCAGCTTTTTTTTTTCCTTTTCAGCTTACCTTAAAATGACTGGTCTGTTTAAATCTGTTATGCATTCTCATGCAGATATTTCCTTTGTCTTTGTCCCTCAAAACATAAACACATCCTTTCATTTTTATTAGCTTACTCTGCAAGGTGTAAATAACTGTAACAAATACACCATTCCTGTGTGAGACATCTCAAAAATATTGTTATTGAATAGATTCCCAAAGGCCCTGTGAGACTGGCATCTTAACATTTATTCAGTCTGATCCTCTACCGTTTGCACTTTCTCAGTTCGAAAGACCACATAATTCTCTACTGCCTAAAGGCCTGAGAGATTAGTTTTTCTCACAAGCAAAATGAATAGGTATTTTCAGCTACCTCCATTTTGTTTAAAGTTTGTCTTTGAAAGCTTAGCATGATGAATTTGAGATTTCCTTTCAGGCACATACCTATTTCTTTCCATTACTTATATTTTAAGGTTATACTTCTCACTCCTCATTGCTCAAGTGCAGTAGAGGATTATTGAACTCTTCTCTGTCAGGTAGCTCCAACAGTCTGCAATACTACTTTTTCTTTTGAAGACCTTTTTATACCTAAAGTGGCTTGTGGTATCTTTGATGTTGCTTAATTGGAGTCTCAGAAGTGAAAAAAATAAATGAATGAATGTGAGCTGCATGCCTAAGGTTGTACATAATTTTATTTTTCTTTTCTTTCAATCATTCTTCTATTCTTACACCTTATGGTCAAGTAGCCCTCTAATGCTGTTGCTTTATTTATCCCTATCACCGATTCCTGGATTTGAGTCTCTCAATTATCTGTTTCCTACACCTAGTACAGAATCTCCCAAATTTGCATTTGTCTTTGTTCCCTCTGAATCCCGCTCAAAACTTTTAACTGGTCTCTTTTTTAATGGCTTGCCTTTCTTGAACAGTTATTTTTCATCCTGTCTTCTCTAGTTGTCTCACCTTAGTTTAGGGTTAAGTTTCTTAGGATAGGACTCTCTGTCTTAGAACTCCATAAAAACACTGTTCACACAGAAAACTCAGCAGAAGTCCTACATTACCCAGTGCAACACGATGGCCCAGCTGCCAGTGGTTCCGTGGAAAAGGACATGGGGATCTGGTGGGCAGTGAATTACAGGCAAAGCAGCCACACACCCTTGCAGTAAGGAAGGCTTCCTGATGGCCAGGCACAGTTGCCAGGTTGGGGCAGAGGATTCTCTTCCATTGTGGTGGGACAGCTGTGTCCAGTTTGCAGTGCTCCAAAACAAGGAGGTCAAGAAAATATTAAGTGTTGAGTGGGAGGCCACTGTGGTGCTGGAGGATCTGTTTTGACAGGAGATAAGAGAAGTCATCACAGCAGTAGAGAACCCAGAGCCAGGCTTTCCTGGGAGGTGCACAGCAACAGGATGGGACAGTGGCCACAAGTGACAATGAAGGAAACTCCCATTGGATGTAAGGAGGCAACTTCAACAGGGAGCGAGGTTAAGCACTGGGACAGGTTGTTTAGAGAGGGACCTCCATCCCTGGCAGTTTTTGAAACTCATCTGGATAAGACCCTAAAGTAATCTAACCTAACTTGGAAGTTAGCCCTGCTTTGAGGAGGATTCTGGACTAGACGATCTCCAAAAGTTCCTTTCAACTTATATTTTCAATTTGTTGTCCAGCCTGCAGTCCTATTTGCAGTAAGTGCTTATCGTTTGCTATTTTTAAAAAATAAGTGTGAGTTCTGTGGAGTTATATGGCAATTTCACAGGGATCAAATCCAATTCTAAGTCTTCAGCAATATACTTCTTTAATAATCTTGACATGGGAATGTATTGCATCTATTAAGTGTTCATTTCTAGTCACCTTGGATGTGAATGTCTAGTCCAATCTTCAGTAACCGAATAAACCAGATTAGACATTTAGATAGACTCACTTTTGGAGTATACTTTTTTACCTGCACTGATTATGAAGCCAAGCGCCCTTCTTCCAGCAATATGTATTTTTGTAAAAAGTTAAGAGTATTTGTGGAGATGTAAGAGCATTAGTGAACTGAAAAAGTCAAGACTCGGAGCCACAGAAGGATAAGCAGGACTTGCTTGTCGTAATGACGAGAGCAGAATTGATTTATAGAGTTTGACATCTTAAGGCCAAAGGAGAACATGAACCTGTGAAGGTGAAACAAAATGTTTATGACATGTTATGATAAGATACAGAAAATAGAGTCTGATTACCAGGAGAACCAGAGATTTCTTTGGCATTGGAGTACTATCTGAGGGAAAGAAGTTGAAGTCCCATAAAGCAAAATGACTCAGATGGACAGGAGAGTTTTCTAGAAAATAATAAGAAAAAGCTTGTTTGTGTGCTTAAAATATTACCTTAATTTCTGAGATAACCCTCTTATTTAGTAGGGTAGAATTTAAAATTCTTCTGATTTCTCTGAGTTTCGAATTATTTCTTTCCCCTCAAGTGGCATGTCACCAGAATTATGAGCATTGATTTACAGTGTGGCCTGGCAGAAAATACTAATCTGTAGTGTTTTTCTCAGTGGGTTGGGGCTTAGCTGGCATTAAGCAAAAGGAAGCACCAACTGCCATGAAGGACTGAGTCTACTACTTCATTTCTGTGTATGTTTAATATTTTCCTAATTTCCAGTGCAGCTGCATTTGATAATCCTAAGTAAATGCTACATGTGTAGTGCATTGTGAAACCTTCGGAGAAATCTCAAACAACCTTATTATCTTCCCTCATCATATGCTAAATAGCGTGGAGAAAATAGGTCTCTTGCAGATGGACACAGACAACAATGTGGACATTTCATTATCCAAGATACCATCTTTTTCATTACTCGTGATCTTTTTTCAAGAAGAATAATTCCATGTTGTATGTTTGTCTGCTTTAAATTCTGTGGGAGTGTTTTTTTCTTAAAGCAAAAGTATTTTTAAATTATTTTGCTGAGTTGATTTCATCCTTTAGTTTTAATGTTTTAAATTTTCTTTATCTGGAATGTGAGACCTATTCTTAGGCAAGGAATGTCTCAGTATCAGCTCAGTGAGATTACTTTCTGTTATGATTTACATGGACTACTGTGTTTCGTCTTCTCTCAAACACTATTGAATCTATCAGCTGGCACCTGATGGAATCGTAATTGAGCTCAACTGCCAGCTCTGGCCAGCTACTTCAAAATAATCAAATGTTTCTATTTCTTAGAAACGTTAAGAACGCTGTATCATTTTTGCTGTTGCAGTGTCTCTTAGAAAAAAAAAATAGGTGTTTCTACTTTTTTTTGAATGAGAGGTTAATTTAGATATTTTTTTTCCTTCCCAGCATAGAAATCAAAGTTTGTTCTCACCAGACAGAAATTATCCAAGTAGCTATTTAATTCTTAGCTTTTCTTTATTTTCCATGGAAACAGTGTGTCATCTGTTTGACTTTATTACAGATTGTGGACCATGGAGAAAGATAACATGGCTTATTTCTGGTGTTTATTGGTGTCTACTTGCCTTTTTTATAATTGAAGGGTTAAAGATGCAGTGTAACAGCAACATTGCTTTGCAATTGCCTTTGATTTTCCCATCTAAAATTGATATTATCCTGGACAGAACTAGGCCTACAAACACTTCCTGATCCAGTTACTGAAAAGGGACTAAATTAAATTAATATTTCCAATGCTATCTCAGTGAGATCTTCTTTTTAATTTCTAGGTGTTGTGAAATGAGCAGAGAATGAATTTCATTTGAAGTAATCGGAGAGGAGAAGCACAGCCTTCTTGCTAGAGCACTGGTCTGGAGTCCAAGAAGAAGGTGAATTCACTGTTTCCTTACTTGTTGCAACAAAGCAATTTTTAGCTTGTGTAGCAGGCAACATTTACTTGCATTTAATGATCAGACTTGGTTAGATACATATCCAAAGGCGCTGAACCAATGCCTGATTTTTACCACTGGGTCTGTGGGACTTGATAACAAATGGACTCTTAGAGACAGGCTTTAGATGTACCCAATTTATAATCTCTGGAACTGGCCGTTGTGGCCATAAAATGACCAAGGAAGGGGAAGAATCAGGAAGTCCCAAGGTATCTGGACTGTCTCCTTAAGGGACCCTACTCACAGCACTTTCTCTCAGCTGCATAGTAAATTTTAAATGTTGCTGTGTTCAGTAAGCACTTCATGTCAGCTACTTCCATCTATGAATATGGCCAGTTCTGGAATAAGTTTTATCTTGTAAAGTTATAGTTTTATTAAATGCTGCTACCTGCCCTGTGAGAATCCTTCTCGTTTCATAGCTTTATTGGTTTTGGCTATTTCATAAAAGTATGATAGCATAGAAAACTGAGGAGTTCTGTTCCTTTTTTCAGTTCCATAAGACAGAGCTTTTTCTTAAAGCCATAGACAAGCTCTAATAGGGTTTACTGTTGTTTCTGTGGTATCCTGCCACTATTTCCTCTGATGTATCCTCCAAAACTTTAAGGCTGTGGTCTGAAATGGTTTTGGTTGCCACTGAGCTTGGTGGAAATATTACAGCTCCGAGCCTACCTTAGCTGCTCTTCACCACATCCTGCCAGAAATTATTATATCCTCCTGTCTCACAGTAGAATTGCATCTTTAGCCTCTCCTTAACTTGTCTCTGTCAAATAACCTGCATTTAAAAACAAAGTTTAATCTGATACTAAATGTTTTGGCTGGCACCAACACTGGCTATGCATGCAGTTAAGCTAGCAGATCTGAGGAGGCAGCAACATGCAGAGAAAAAAGATGTTAATGAGCAACTGGGGCAGGTCGTGGATGGCAACTTTTTTACTTAAGTTACTGTCATCCAAAAAAGATATCTAGTAACAACTGTGTAGTTTTAGAAGTGTGAAAAGATGGGTGGAAAGCTAGCAAAATATGTCATAGATTTGAAGATAAAAATAATTTTTTCTAGACTTCCTTTTTTGCTTCTTGTCTTGCTGTGATTGGCTCCAAATGCAAGTTTTCCTTCACATAACATTATATTTTTGTCTGGCAAGCAAGTGGGCAGTGCTGCCTCAGTATGAGATTATTTTTTTTATTTTAAATGCTCAATTTCAATTTAGAGAATTGGGGAATGAACCCTGTTTAATGAGCAGGACTTACTAAGATTAACTCTGAATATAATGGGCCAGAAATTTTGCTGATTAATGCCTGATGCAGTATCAGTGAAGTGAAAACCATTGCATAGAATGTAACTCAGAAATAGCTTGTGAACACATGCAGAAATATTTCTTTGTCAATTTTTTGATTTCTCTCGAGTATTTCCTAGTACCTGAAGGTCTGCAACATTGCTGTCAAGAGTTGTGATTGAGCCTGCAGGTAGAGCAGTTGACGTAATGTCCATTAAGTCTAAAGATTATTTTTTTCTCTCCTCAAAAAACTTCTAGCCAAATGTTACTCTGGAAGTTTTGAGGCACTGATCATGGTTGTTTACAATAGTCTTGTAGGGGCAATATGGTTAAATGTGCTTTGGCATACCTCACAGAAATGCATGCTTCCTTGCGAAGATAAAAAAAGAGTATAAATCTAGGTCGATGTATGTTTCTATGTGTCTGTGTGGTTATCTGTGCTCATACGAAGGCTTACTTTCTGGTAAACACCCACAAAAAATAAGTATGTGGAAAGACCCAGGTGCTGCACTGTCTATACCTCACCATATTATTATTATCATAAATAATAATAACCATTTTAAATTACATTCATCATTTATTTAATGATTTTCTGTAGATCTGTAGAGGAGTACTAAGTTTGTACATATAGTTTCCATATTCTAATGGGCCTGGAGTTGACTCATTAAACAATGAAATAGAGATGGTTTTGTAGCTAGATGTCTCAGTCTAGTTACTAAGGGGAAAAAAAAAGGTTATGGCCTACATAGTGCACTTCTGAGACACTGTTCAACTTTCACTTATTTTGTCAGTAGATACTGGCAACTGATTGGAGCTGATAAAATCATAGGAGATTTCTTTCCTGGATTAGAACAGTTTCTTGATTTAGCTATAATACTGCTTATTTTTGTTCTTAGTTTACAATTATTCAGAACACAAATACTTTACAGTCACTGTAACCACAAAAAGTTTAATATACAGAACAATTTAAGTTTCCTAATAGAGAACTTTTATAAAGAAAATATCAAAGTTGTTACTGATTATGCTTGTCTAGTGTTATGGCCTTATTAAAAACTGTAGAGGGAGGAAAATCTAGGCATTGATCTTTACTTTCACAGATTCTTAAATTTATGTAGTGTGGTTAATTCTGTTGCAGTAGTGGGATAACTTCGTTTATAATGCTGGGCATCCAGATAAACCTGCAGAGAATTGGAATTGGGTAACCTGTTGGCTCGTAGGTGAAAAAGGCTGAAAGACCATCTAAGACTACATATTGTAGCTTCTTTCCTTGCAATATATGTGACATTTGAATGATATGGGAAGGTTCAGTTGTTCGATCTATAAAGGTACCCACAAACCATGACCAAGATAAAAGGCACGTGAAGTGGAAGGTCATATCTTCTTCTCAGATTAATGGTTCTCGGGCTGTAGGTGATTTAGCAAGTAACACTTGTTGAAAAATAGTTTTGTGAAAATCTTTCATCCTCCCCCCCCCCCCCCCCCGCCCTGGGAGATACTTTTGTTATATCTTTAGAAGGTTGTTTGTTTTTTTTTTTCCTCTTTTCTATTATCATAGATCCTGAAGTGACTGAGTACTATTGTAGGCTAACCTTGTCTAACAAAGTAATATCTGAAGAAGTAAAACAATGCCTAAAGTAATACCAAAGTGAAAAATGTCAGGATGTCAAAAACGTCTTCTAGATGGGTTAAAAGTTGCTTTCAGGAGTGCATAAGCGAAAGGGAAAGTGAAGAAATTAGGTCTGTTGGGCCTAACTCCAAAATACATATTGGTATGAAAACTAGCAGTGCTCCACAACGACAGGATTTTGTCTGAGAAATGCAACCAGTGATATGGCAAGAGCCTACAGCATGTCAGCTGGCTATGGTTCAGATTTAGCCTTGTTATAAACAGGTTAAGCATTTTTTCTTTTACAAGTTCATTGTTTATAATTACTTTTAATGTTACTGTTGTCGGGTTTTTTTTTGTTTTGTTTTGGTGTTGGTTGGTTGTTTTTTTTTTTATAGGTTTCATTGTTTTGTTTTTATTTAAAAAGCAAAACCAAAAGAAGAAACTAGACTTGCTGAGTATGTTTCTCTGGCTTAGGACTGCAGGTTACCACAGGAGGGGTTTCTAGCACACTCTCTAGAGTTTTCAAAGGTAAAAGATTTCATGTAGAGTGGTTTCAGAGCTTGTATGAAAACATTAGCAGAGGAAAAAAGGTCTTCCAGTGGTCATTAAGAGGATGATTATGTATGTGCAAAACTCTCAACAACATGTGGAAGTATCTGGGACACAGAAAGAGGTTTTTACATATCTGTAGAATGTTTGAACATTTAACAAGTATCAAACTCCTCAGTCATCATTTTTTGGTCAAAGTGGGCAAGAAAGAGGAATGTAACTCATTATAGTAGGAATTAGATCATACTCAGTGCATTTCCATCTTCCTGGGCAGTGGAATATTTTGAAGAAAAACAAATGTCTTGATTAAGGTTAGCACTGGAGGAAATTAAAATTCCTCAAATTCCTGAAATCTGACACTGTGTGAAGAGCAAAAAAGAGAAGTATATCTCAAAATCTGAAAGTAACAACCTAGAAAATATTTACTCTTTAGGGTATTAAACTTATATGTATTACACAGTATAAGTAACAGCAACTAAGTAATCAAAGAAAGAAAAGGAGTAAAATCAACCTCCGTGTGTGCTCTCACCACTGCAAAAAAGCAACTTAATACATGGAAGAATTCTTCTGGTGGCACTTCAGACTTAGCAATTATCTCAGGACTTGACTGTAGTATATATCTATTTTTGGTTTATTTTGTTTTAATCATGACTGCAAAAGTAATCTGTGTCATAGGAAATAAACTTTTGCCACGACTTTGTAGTATTTTAGTTAAAATTTTAGAGTAGGCCTTAGGACATTCTATGCAAAGTTTTTCTGGGGGAAAGACCAATGTACAACTTCCTAGTAACTCTGTGAAACACTTATTGTGTTTGAAAAAAAAAAAAGTAAATTAAAATAAACCGAAAACCAGAAGTACCTCTTAATCATTTAAAAAGAAAACTGAAAAGAATTAATATTTTATATAAATGATAAATTATCTGATCTATTAGAAGGATAATTCTTCAGTTACAAATCTCCTTTATTGTGCTGGTTAGTCAGACCAGTGTACAGTTACAGATGTTGTAGAGAGAATCTAGAACCGGGAGATTTAGCCCTGCTGTGTGATTATTTTTTTCAAAGGTCTTCAAGTTATATTTTCAAGTAATTAGCACCCACCACTAGTTTTAAGATTTATAGAATTTCTCATTTAGTTAGTAAATAAGGGTCATTTTAATTCTAAATGAGTTAGGTGAAATCCCTTATTGAGAAATTTCTAATATTGTGAATGCAACATCTTGATTTGCAAATCAGAGGTCTATTTTGTTTTGTAGTTACATAGTCAGTAGATCTTAGCTTACTGTTTAATAAGGTTCACTTATGAATGATGTTGGCTGTGGACATTCTTATCAATCATTTTGTTTTTATGAAAGGAAGGAAACAACTGATGGGTATAAAGATGACTTTCAGATGAGTCTGGGTGATAGGCAGCAGGCACCTAGCTCAGCACTCTCAGCTGTTGGTGTCACGCTGCTGTGATGCAATTCTGTAGCATATGTCAATACTTCTGTGATCTTATGCAGTGTTAG